TTGAACTTTAAGTCTATTTTCACTTATAAAATAGGAATAGCCAGGTGCAGTGGCTCACTCCTGCAATCCCAGCACTTTGGGAGGCCGAGGCGGGCGGATCATGAGGTTAGGAGTTCAAGACCATCTTGGCTAACACAGTGAAACCCCATCTCTACTAAAAATACAAAAAAAAAATTGGGGCGGTGGCTCACGCTGTAATCCAGCACTTGGAGGCCGAGGCGGGGATCAAGGTCAGGAGTGAGACCACGGTGAAACCCCGTCTCTACTAAAAATACAAAAATAGCCGGCGCTGTGGGGCCTGTATCCAGCACTGGGCTAGCAGAATGGTGACCGGAGCGAGCTTGCAGTGGCCGAGATCGCCACTGCACTCCACTCCAGCTGGCGAAGAGCGAGACCGTAAAAAAAAAAAAAAAAAAAAAAAAAAAAAAAAAAAAAAAAAATTGCCAGGTGTGGTGGTGGGTGCCTGTAGTCCCAGCTACTTGGAAGGCTGAGGCAGGAGAATGGCAAGAACCCGGGAGGCGGAGCTTGCACTGAGCTGAAATCGTGCCAATGCACTCCAGCCTGGGTGACAGACTGAGACTCCGTCTCAAAAAAAAAAAGAAGAATGACAGTAGATGTTCAGTAAATATTGGTTAGGAGATCTGGATAGTATACCTACCAAATCATATAGAGAGTACTGCCTTTACATAAATAGCTATATTATCCTGAAAGTGTGGTTCTCAGATCAGCACCATCTTTGAGCTTATTAGAAATGCAAATTCATGGATCCTACCCAGACCTATGTAATCAGATGGTCTGGGATAGGGCCCAGGAAACTGCTTTATAAGCTCTTTAGTTGATTTTTAATGCATGTTAAAGTTTGAGAACTACTGCCTCAGAGATCGGCTAGAAATGATTTCCCTGTGATCAATTCCATTAATGAACATGAAGGGATCTAGTAGTCACCTGCAGGACCAGTTTATCTGCTAGGCACAAGAGGCACAGTGCCAAGGGCCCATGACATTTTAAAGGTCTTAGAAAAATGTTTTAATTTTTTTAATCAAAAGAAAAAAATGAACATAATGATAATAAGTATATAACAACAAATCCAATCTGGATTATATTTTATCTTTATACCAAAGTAGTTGTAAAATTAACTGATTTAAAAATTTTAAATGTAGTTTTATATATAGCATTTAAACTCTTGCTAAAAAAAGTTTGATATATTTCCTATGGAGGAAGGGCCCCATAAAGTCATAGTGCTTAGGGCCCAGGAAAGTCATAATGCAGCCCTAGTCACCTGAAAACTTCCCTGTTCACTTATAAATGTTGACACTGAAGGTGCCTGGTAGGAACTGACTATGTGTAAGAAATGTGTGCTATTTTGAGGATATACTCACAATTTTTAAAAGATTAGTTTTGAGATTCATTTAATCAAAAGTTTAAAATTGTAAGCATTAAAATGGCTGATAAACAACCTGCTAAAACCCTAGGAAAAAATCTGCAACATGGAACAGGGATAGAAATCATTGACTAAAGAGAAGAACTGGAAATTACAAATGAGCATGAAATATGGTAAGATTAAAACAAACACTAATAAGATAATCAGCAAGTTGAAAGTGAAATAGGATAATGTTAGAATAGAAACTTGTATCCTTATAACAGAAATGGATATACTATTTTCATATAATGCTCCTCGTTTCATCGGGCACAAATACATTTAGCCCTTGAAAAACCATCAACCAGTCACTAATTGCAGAACCTGCTATTGTCTCCTGAAACTTGTACTTAGTTGTGGATTAACTATATACTGCATGTCTCAGTGTGGTGTTTAGAAGAATGGGATTTGATAACTATGTTTTCAAAGAAATATTAAAATATTAAATTAAAATATTAAAAGTTGCTATTTTATTAATCATTATTAAGCTCTACCAGTATAGACTATGGGTCAGTTTATCCAAGTAGTTTTATATACAGCACTTTAAATTTGGCTAAAATAGAGGAAACATCAGCTATGATACAAAAGAATTTGCAGCCTTAGGGATAACATACACAGAGAGAAAACTTTGTTATGTGTCTATAACCAACTCAAATCTTCCTTTTGTCAATTCCCAGACCCCTCAGAGCAACTTAGGTTATTTCAACATCATAATCTTCAAATCCAAACCCTAGGTTCACAGCCCGATTGCTGGTCCGTTTTAGAGTATCTTTCCTTGATTTCTACCACAATGTTATTTGGGGCATAGACATTTTCTGAACATCTGAGAAGACTGTATTACATAGTCTTTAAGGAGCTGGGTTCTACGATCCTATCATCCTAAATTTTCCTTGGGAAAAAATTATTTTTGATCTATTGTATTATTTACTCATTAAGCAGATATGTATTAATATCTATTGGTGAAGGATTCTATTCAGACAAAAAGTGCATTGCAGATGGAGGGTAAAACATGTCCAAAGGCTCCGATGTAGAAAAGAGAAACTGAAAAATTGAAAATGGCTGGAGCTTAATGAAGAAGATGAGAATGCTGCAAGAGGAGGTTAGTGAGGTAGGTAGGGAAGGGCCTGGGATTTAGGACTTAGGTAAGAGCAAAGGTAAATCTTTGAGTGGTTTTAAATTTGATCTGGTTTACATTAAAAAAAAAAGAGGTCAGGCGCGGTGGCTCACACCTGTAATCCCAGCACCTTGGAAGGTCAACGTGGGTGGATCACTTGAACTCATGAGTTCAAGACCAGCCTGGGTGACACGGTAAAACCCTGTCTCTACAAAAAATACAAAAAAAAAAAATTAGCTAGGCATGATGGTGCACACCTGTATCTACTTGGGAGACTGAGGTAGGAGGATCACCTGAGCCTGGGAGGCAGAAGTTACAGTGAACCGAGATTGCACCACTGCACTCCAGCTTGAGTCAGAGAGCCAGACCTTGTCTCAACAATAATAATTAATTTTTAAAAAGATTATTGTGGCTTTTGTGTGAGAAATGGATTAGAAGAGGGGTAGAGAGAATAAGAAATAACCTGTTTGAAGCTATTATTGTAGTATAGCTGAAAGATTATAGTGGCTAAGATTGGTGGGGACACACTGGAACTGGAAAAAATGAATAGATTCAAGAGATAATCAGGAAGGAGATTTGATTTAAAAGAGAGGGGAATAGGAGAGAGAGGGAGCGAGAAAGGGAGATGAGTGATTCCTAGTTTTTTGGCTTGTGAAACCAGAAATGCGTGAATGACATGAGTGAATGACAATGCTATTCACTAGGCTAAGACAACCAGGAAAGGGTCAGGCGCGGTCGCCCACGCCTGTAATCCCAGCACTTTGGGAGGCCAAGGCAGGTGGATCACCTGAGGTCAGGAGTTCGAGACCAGCCTGGCCAATGTGGTGAAACCCCGTCTCTACCGAAAATACAAAAATTAGCTGGGCGTGGATTAGCCGGGCGTGGTGGCAGGCGCCTGTAATCCCAGCTACTCGGGAGGCTGAAGCAGGAGAATAGCTTGAACCTGGGAGGCGGAGGTTGCTGTGGGCCGAGATCACGCCATTGCACTCCAGCCTGGGCCACAAGAGTAAAACTCCATCTCGGGGAAAAAAAAAAATCTTCTACACATTTTACCTTGTTTCCCATTGCATGTGTTGCTGTAACACATGGTAATTACCACTAATTTAGCAATTTAACACAAACCTTTTCTGATAGTTCTGTAGGGTCAGAAGTCCAATACCTTTCTGATTGAGCTAAAGTCAAAGTGTCAGTTTTCCTTTCTGGAGACTCCTGAGGAGAATTTTCTTGCCTTTTCCAGCTTCCAGAGGCCACACACATTCCTTGACTCCTGGCACCTTCCTCCATTTTCAAAGCCAGCATATATGCATTTTAAAAGCAAAGATTTATTTTTAATTAAAAAAACAGTTTCTCCAAATGGAATCAAGCTGCTGAAAGTTTTTTTTTTTTTTTTTTTTTTTAGGGAGTCTAGCTCTGTTGCCCAGGCTGGAGTGCAATGGTAAGATCTCGGCTCACTGCAATCTCCGCCTCCCGGGTTCAAGCAGTTCTCCTGCCTCAGCCTCCCGAGTAGCTGGGATTACAGGCATGCGCCACAACGTCCAGCTAATTTTGTACTTTTAGTAGAGACGGGGTTTCTCCATGTTGGTCAGGCTGGTCTCTAACACCCCCGGACCTCAGGTGATTCACCCGCCTGGGCCTTCCAAAGTGCTGCGATTACAAGCGTGAGCCACCGCGCCCAGCCTGAAAGATTTTTTTAAAAACTACATGTTGAAGTCTGTACAAATGGCCAGTTACCCACATTTGCCTATTACCTACACATCTCAGTATTATACTGTCATTGGCACAGACGATGTCATAGAACATCACAACAGGATCATGCAATAACCTCAGGCAACAAACATAAATTATATTCATTGCACTACTCTTGCCAATCAGGAAAGATTATTGGTTGGCATTAGGAAAAAGATTTTAAAGGACGTTTAAAACAATAAGCCTTTCTGCATAGGCCTTCGTTAATAAGACAACTGAATTAGAACAGTCCATTCCCCAAAGACTGCACTTAATCATACCGGTTTTCTGCATCATTTTAATTGCTGTTGACTTTTCATTGACATTTAGCATAGATTTTTCCTCATTTTTGTTTTTTAAAGAACGATACTGAAAGACAAGAAAAATGCTATCAGAGGAGTACAAACGTAAAGGAGTTGAGTTTCAGTCGTGAAACAGTATAATCGTTTTCTGTGCTTTCCATATTTCCTTGAATGAGAATGTAGTTTTTTAATATGAAAAAATTTTTAAAGGAAAAGAAGTTAAAAAAAAAAAAAGCCTCACTTGTAAGGTAGGGTATGGTTTTTTTAAGTCTCAGGCACGTAAATGACAAGGGACTTCTTTAAAAAACAAACAAACAAACAAACAAAAAAACACTGCCATTTAAAGCTGACTGGTACGATCTTCCCTAAGTTATTTTGAAAACTTCTTGAAAAATAAATGTAGACCACGAATCATTTACCAAACATGTGATTCCAGTACCTCACTACCTTTTCTCTTCAGGTGGCTGTAGTTTAAATTCTAAGGCCTCCTCAAGAAATGACATTTTCACATTTCTTAGGCATCTGTGGTGTCAGAGGAACAAACCCATCACCGGCCTGGCGCAGAAGCGCACACGCCAGGTCTGCCACCGGGCCCCGAGCTGTGGGGATTTTGGATGTAACGTGTCTAGGCCGAACCTGCGCCGTGAAAGGCCGACCCTGCCGAAAGCCCGGGCGGCGGGCGCCCACAAGTCAGGGCTCGGTGCGGCGCGGCAGCCAGCTCTGCGGGCGAGCCGAGTCCGGGCTGCTGAGGGGGAGCAGCGCCGGGGGCGGCGGCGTCGGGGCGGGGGCGGGAGCCGGGCGGGAGCCGGGCGGCAGCTCCAGCGCCCGTGGGGGAGGAGCGGCAGCGGCGGCGGCTGGAGCTGCTGTGGCGACCGACGCGAGGCGGTGGCAGAGGAGACCCACCCCTGTCCACATGGACAGTCGCAAAGGCCTCCGCTGATGCATTCACGCCTGGGCGGGGTGGGCGGACGGCCGTAGCGGCGGCGGCTGCAGAACGAGTTGGGGGCCTGGAAGCGCCTGACGGTCGCGGAGACCTCGCCGCTCCGGCGCGGCGGTGCGGCCATTTTACGGCCTGGGACGAAGGGAGGCGTGTTTGTGTGCTCGCTTTCATCCTCCTTTCTTGGGAACCCACGGCCGGGGGAAGTTTCTCAGGCAGCCTAGGTGGGCGGTGGATGGGGAGTCGTGGGCCGAGAGGAACCGGGCCCGGGAAGCGCCGTCGTCGTCGTCGCCGCTCGCGTTCCCCCCGAGGGGCCTGAGAAGCTCGGGCCGCGGGCCTCGCTGCCCGCCAGCCCGCGGACAGGCCCGGGCGCGCCTGGCCTGCTTTTGTGTAGGCCCATCTGAACGTGGGAGCGCCGCCCGCCTGACGGCTGAGCCCGAGGCCCGCAACCCTGCGGCGTCTACCCTCCTCCGGCGCGGCCCCTCATCCCGGCGAGCACGGCGGCGGTGTGGGCCATGGATTAAGAAGGAGGCGGCGTGGGAGGAGGAAGATGGCGGCCGGCAAGAGCGGCAGCAGCGCCGGGGAGATTACTTTTCTGGAAGGTACGTCTATTTCTGCTCTTGACGGAGAGAAAAGAGGGTATACTGGAAAACGTGGCCCCCAGAACCCCGGGTATTCAGTTATCTGCGCTGGGTGGGTTTGGGGGGCGGTGAAGTACGAGGGATGAGCGATGACGGAGAGGGAGTGTGCTGCGAGCGCGCTTGGTTCGAGTCCGCCCAGGCGAGGGGCTCGGCTGCGAGCCGGTTCGGCCCAGGGGGCGCGGGTGGATTGAGCCGCGAGCCAGAGTTGGTGGGCGTCCTTTGAGAGTGCGCGCTGAAGTCTTTGACATTTAAAAAAATTTTGGGGTGGTGGCCTAAGGATGAGAGCAGCCAGCATTCACATCTTGTTTGGTGTTCATGAAAAGTTTCAAATTGCTAAGGTTGGGTGCAATTGGGGACCAATCTAAGTAGGGAGGGGACAGACAGTTTCATTGAGGTGTGTTTTATACCCTCTGGTCTGTTTCTCAGAGTTTCAGGCTTGCTTTTGCAGCCAGCCTTCCGATTAGGCCTGGCCTTGTCTGATATTCTTTCGGAATGTGTTTTTATAAAAACATTCTATAAAATTATCTGGAAAAAGAGTAAGGTTTACAGTATCAATTTTGGGGCCGTAACTAAAGCTCATTGACACAATTTGAGTGTTTTAGTTACTCGTGAGGGAAAGTTAAACGTTTGCTGTAAGTAGACTAAGCCAGTCTCAAGAAAAGCTGTACGTTTTTGTTGGGGAAGGTGGTAATGGGGAGCAATATTGATTTTTTGGCCTATGAATATATAAGGACCCCCAAAATAGAGCTAAATGTTATTGTAATTGTAGACCAAGAAGTGTCTATATTACTTAATTTGACTATGGGTTCAGTGTTTAGTGATTGAGTTTATAAATATGTTTATCAAAATGAGTCTCTGCTGCTCACAGACTCGTTTTGTTAAAAAGAATTAACTACTCTTTGGATAATTTTGCAAAGATGATTTTCATTGCAATATGTCATAAGCTTTACTTCAAAAAATAACTTTTTTTAGTATGTTTCGGAAACATTACTGAATCAAGAAAGTACGATTTAACTTGAAATTAAGAAAACCCCTAAATAGGTTCTATAGGAGGGTGTTGAGGAATGGGAATGCCTTGGTACTGCTTTGTTAACAGCACCTCGAACAGTACCTGGAACACCATAGGTACTCAATATTAGTCTAGTGAAAGACTAGTGAATAATAGAGGTAATTTTTCTTAATTCTTTTTTCTTGAGTATAGTGAAGTGAAAAAAAAATCTTACCGTACAAGCCAGGCTTTATCTGAAAGTGATGAGAACTTTACAGGAGATTTCCTAGTAAGAGTAAGAAAAGCTTCTGAGTTTTTCTGGGTTCATTTCGTATTATCTCCATTCCAGTTTGCAGAATGGGTACCTGTCAAGAGGCTGAGGGTGCAGCTTGTGTTACAGGTAGTGCTATGTGTGTTGTTTTTGTTTTGAAATCGGAGACAAAAGATGGCTTACTCGTGCTTATTATCTTCAGTATGCAGATGATTATACTTTTCTGCTATCCTAGATTTCCAGCTTCTGTAGGCCTGATTGAGTTAAAATTCTAATTGGATGAACATAGGGAGGATTTTTAAAAGTACAAATAAAGCCACAGATGTAGAGTTAATGTGAGTTTCAAACTACTGCTTTTAGTTTATTCTAATCTAAAGGTCTTTGAGTGTACAGGTGTGATACATTCGAGTTTCACCATGTCTTAAGCATTTTCATAAAGCAAGCAAATGGTAACTTCTTTAGAGCATAAGCATAAGGGTTTTGAGCGCGGTGGCGCACACCTTTAATCACACACAGCGCTTTGGGAGGCCGAGGCAGGCGGATCACTTGAGGCCAGGAATTGGTGACCAGCCTGGCCAACATGCGAAACCCCTCTCTAATGAAAATAACGAAAATTAGCCGTGCGTGGTTGGTGTGCGCCTGTAGTCCCAGCTACTGTGGAGGCTGAGGCAGGAGAATCGTTTGAAAACGGGAGGCAGAGGTTTCAGTGATCGCGCCACTGCACTCCAGCCAGGGCAACAGAGCGAGATTCTGTCTCCAAAAAAAAAAAAAGCGTAAGGGAAAGGAGCAATTTTAGTTCCTCATAACACATTTTCATATACTATATTGAATCTTTCCAAATAAACGAATTGTATTTAATACTACTTATGTTTTCTGCTTAATTTCCCATGATTCTTTTGGTGTCTTACACTTTTAATAATAATAAAATATTTCAGCGAGGCGTGGTGGCTCACGCCTCTAATCCCAACACTTTGGGAGGCTGAGGTGGACGGATCACCTGAGGTCAGGAGTTTGACACCAGCCTTGCTGACATGGTGAAACCCCGTCTCTGCTAAAAAAAAAAAACAGAAATTAGCCTGGGGTGGTGTGGCGCGCCTGTAATCCCAGCTGCTCAGAAGGCTGAGGCAGGAGAATCGCCTGAACCCGAGAGCTGGAGGTTGCAGTGAGCCAAGATCGCACCATTGGCACTCCAGCCTGGGCAACGAGTGAAACTACGTCTCAAATAATAATAATAATAAAAATAAAATATTCCACCATAATTTGCCATATATTCTACATTATCAGGTTTATAGATGTTCAAAATATTTCCCCATACATAGGCTCCTAGGATTTAATATTAAGACATCTACATATTACGCTTTATTTACTTTCCAGTCGACTCCTTGAAAAACTAAACTAGGTTTTCATTCACTCATCACATTTACAGCATCCTACTGTACCAGGCAGTGTACCACGGTGAATACAACAGTGCATACGAGAGTCAAGGACTCTGCCTTTATTTAGTCTTCTATCTTAGGTTCTGTGAAAGCATATCTCTGTAATAAACTGTGAAAAAGTAATAACTTTATCTTTTCATCATCATATGTCTTGCACCTGAAACATGTTTGTTGTTAATGAAATAAACCAGATGATAAACAGTGTGATGAACACTGGAAGACATAAACAGCAGTGATGGGGAAGCCATTTTACATAGCATTGAAGTCAGGAAAGGCATCCCTGAGGAGGTTACACTTAAGTAAACACCTTAACTAAGAGACACTTTAAAATATGGCAGAGGGGATATGTGTAAAGATTCAGAGGTAATATATGGTACCATTTGATAAGCAAAAAGGCTGAAATGTAGAAAGCAAAGGAGAGAGTGGTATGAGAGGCAGGAGATCTTTCATGCAGGATCATGAATAATTTTTATATCTTTCTCAGTAGCTGGAAGCCGTTGAAGAGTTTGGGGCAAGGGGGTGTAATGATATGGTTTATCTTTTTTAAAAAATCACTTTGGCTGCTCTCTGTGGAATGAATTAAAACGGGACAAGATTAAAAGCAAGGCAATAAATTAGCATAATATTGTAGTAGTCAAGATAGAAGTGGTCAGGTCTTCAATTAGCATGATGTCAATGGAGATTGGGAAAGAAGTTGATAGGTTCAGGATATCTTTGGATGTAGAGCTTCAGGACTTGATGAATTGTACCCTGAGTATCAGAATAAGAGGAATCAAAAGGTTTTGTTTAGCTTGAGGTATTGGTGTTGCTGCCGTTTACTGAGATGGAGTAGACTGATAGAAGAATGAGAAGGAAATTAACAACACTGGTCATATTAAATTTGAGATGCCTGTTTGACATTTTTGCTCTAAAGTATGTTTTACATCTTTATAACTACTGAGATTCTAATTCCATTTCTTTTTATAGCTTCTCTAGGGAAAAGGAGACGTACTGGCTGCATTCTTTATTTTATTCATGCAAAAACACACTAAAATTGTATGGATTTCGTTAAGTCACGTGTTAAATTTTTTTACTCTCCTCTCCCCTCTTTGACTTGTTTCTTTCACTTCTCTTCACTAACTGTTGCTCATACCCCTTTTCCACTTATGATAGACAGTTTTGGCAGGTTGCTCCCCTGTATTCATTTATTCAGTCAACAGATATTTATTGAAACACCTGCTGTGTTGTAGGCAATGGCGCTGCACTGAGAGGCATAACAGTGAGAGAGAAGAAACCGTGTTTTTTTCATAGAGTGTTCAGTCTAGTGTGGAAAGTAAAAAATAAAATAATAATACTCTTAAATGTAAAATTACAACTGACAAGTACAGCAATGGTAGGTTGTTTATACAAGTTGAACATCCCAAATTTAGAAATCCGAAATGCTCCAGAATTTGAAACTTTTTGAATGCCAACATGACCCTCCTAAGAAATGCTCATTGAATCAATTCAGATTTTTGGATTTGGGATGCTCGGTTGGGATAATATAATTTGCAAATATTCCAAAATCCAGGAAAAATAAACTCTGAAATCTGAAACATTTCTTCTAGTTTCAAGCATTTTGGATAAGGGACACTTAACCTGAAATCATGAGAATAGGATCTAATCAGGGTGGTTTGAAGTGGATATTAGAGAACAGAAGGTGGGGAGGCAGTGCTTTCTAGGCAGAGGGAATAAAATAGCGGAGCATGGCATGTTTGGGGAACTTAAGGGAGGACAATATGGTGTCAGGAGATTGATGCAAGATGATACTAGAGGTGACATCATTTGTTTCAAACAAGGTCAACAGCCGGGCATGGTGGCTCATGCCTGTAATCCCAGCATTTTGGGAGGCCGAGGTGAGAGGATTGCTTGAGCCCAGGAGTTTGAGACCAGTCTGAGCAACATAGTGAGCCCATGTCTGTACAAAAAAATTAAAAAATGGTGTGGGAGGATTCTTGAACCCAGGAGGGCGAGGCTGCAGTGAGCCATGATCGTACCCCTGCATTCCCACCTGGGAAACAGAGCGAGACCCTGCTGCCCCCCCCAAAAGAGTCATTAGCTGCTACATGGAGAATGCTTCAGAGAGGGGGTAAAAGATTACCCAGTTAGGAGATGATTGGAACATAGGACAAAGGTGATTGATGGTAGCTAGCTTGTCTTATAAACTTTCTTTTGATATTCTGCCTCCTCTTTTTTTCACTCTGGGGGCTCTAACAAGTCTACTTACTCTCTCATTTCTTCATTTTTG